GGCAAGGCAGCGACATGACTAATGCTCAAGGAGAGAAAGGCGACGGCGGCGTGGGGCAGCGGCGGCGTTTGGTTTTAGAGAGAAGGGAGAAAAGAGAGAAGAGAGAGATGGGAAAATGGGGGGAAAACCCGCTTTTTGGTTCAACATAATTTAAAAAAAGCGACGGATAACGTCTCTTTGTCCGTCGCTTTTAAAAAAATATTTGACCAAAATTTTGACTAAAAAGCGACGGACTAAGAGACATTGTCCGTCGCTTTTTAAAAATGTTTGACTAGATATTTTGACTAAAAAGCGACGGACTAAGAGATGCAGTCCGTCGCTTTTTAAAAAAACTAATTAATAAAATAAAATAAATTAAAAACGATGGACAACGTGATTTTTGTTTAATTTGCAAATAATTATTTTTATTAAAAAGCGACGGACGACGTCTCTATATATATTAAATAGATAATTATTAATTATATATATATTTAGCGCAAAAATCAGTGAAAAAAAGTGACGAACTAAGAGATGCCATCCGTCACTTTTTGTAAAATAATTTTAAAAATAATTATTTTTATTAAACAACGACGGATAGTGTGGCAAATGGCGTCACTTTTTGGAGCGACGCAGTCCGTCACTTTTTTGTCCATCGCTTTTTGGCAGTTTTTTAGTAGTGAGAAAAAGGGGTTCAAAATCAGCCTAAAAGGAGGTTAATTTCAACCATTTGAGTGGAGCAAAAATCAGCAGCCCAATCAAACCTAAATAGGGCACAAAAATCACGACCAAAAGAGCCCATAAAGTTTTTAATTTAGCAACAGTTATTAGGATTTTAGTTTTACCTTAGCCACTAAGCTAGGGTTTTATTATTAGAAAACTTATATAAATATATAATATTAAAAAAATATTTACCATTTATAGCAATAACAATTTTTTTTTACACTTCATCACTTTTAATACATTTATAATACAGTTTTAATACATATTACAAAGAGCAATTTGTTATTCACCTATAATACAAGTTTTATTGATGGATAATACATTTATCACACATTTTAATACATTTATAATACAATGTATCAATTTCTTATCAAACAAGCATAATATATTTTAATAAAATAGTTATAATACATATATATTGCATACATAATTCAGTTTTAATACATATTGCAGATTTAATATAATATTGCTATAAATGGTAATAAATAAAAAGTATAGCTAAAATCAGTAATTATTTATTAAAAGGTACCCAGCCAAGTAATTTTTTCATTATTTATTAAGCTCTAGATTGTTCTTTTAGGATTTTATTGGGACTAACAACCACCTTATTTATTCTATAAATAGGAGTGTTTTTCATTCATGAAAAAGACATTAGTTGATATTAATAGTATTTGAGAGAGTTCTTTTGAACTTTTTTAGAAATTTATCTTTATACATTTACTAGTTTCATAGTTTGGTAGGATGAAAACAAGTCATTTTCTGTTTTTGGTTTTCCCAAAATATTTTTATTTTCTTGAACTTGCTCTTACTCAATGTTCGGTATTCATTTTATGATCTTGACTCTACGGATTTGTGTAAGTACACAAATAATCTATTAATTTTGGGATCCCTATTTAAGGCATAGTAGAGTATAATTTTTTGTAAGTTTAGTCACTATTGAATAAAATTTAAATATTGTCAAAATTCGCTTTCCGAATTTATAAATTTTGCCTAAAGTTTGACATAGTGCTTGTATAAACAAATACTAGATTTTTTTATATCTAAACTTCAAATAAGCGCAATTGAAGTTTCATTTGTCAAAATTTAACTACAAACATACACGATTGAAATTTATATTCTCAATGTTTGAACTTCAAATATGTATGTCCAAACTAGGAGTAATTTATTTGAAGTCTTAACTATTTGTTGTTGTCTTGTCAACATTTTCACGTTTTTTCCCCAGTAATACCTACTTAATTATTTTAATTAATTTAAATTTGAAATTGATCAAAACCACCTTTACACGTTTTATAAATTTCCATGCACATTTTGAGTACTAGCATGTTGTGTCTATAAAGAATTAATCAGATTTAATCTAATTTATTTATTGTTCTTCATAGTTCTAAAGATGAATCAAGGCCATTGTAACTTGTAAGCATGGTGAGATGGACAAACTAAGAAAGACATATGTAGACTTATAAGTGGAAAATTAAGTCCAAATTCATTAATTCGCTCAATTCGTTCAAGTTTAAATGAGTTGGCATTATAAATAATTTAGGATTGGGAATAACCCTATTGAGTAATGTCAACATCCTACCTATGGCAAGACCCACGAGGGGCTGGGTGGCCCGGATCGGAGTCATGATCGAACATGACGCTTGCTTGGTGGACTTAGTTAAGAAATAACGTTGTGCATTTGCTATCAACATCCTACCTATGGCAAGATCCACGAGGGGCTGGGTGGCCTGGATCGGAGTCATGATCGAACATGACGCTTGCTTGGTGGACTTAGTTAAGAAATAACGTTGTGCATTTGCTATCAGCTATAACTTTTGGCATAATGGTAAGCGCTTGGTCCTAACAAGTGGTATCAGAGCCAAGGTCGTGGGTCGATTCCCAAGAGCAACATTCTGCATGAGGCAGGTGTTGGGAGGGGTATTGTTGAGTAATATCAGTGTCTTGCCTATGGCAAGGCCCACAAGAGGTTGGGTGACCTGGGTCGGAGTCATGGTCGAACTTGACGCCTTGCTTGGTGGACTTAGTTAAGAAATAAAGTTATGTTTTTGCTATCAGTTATATATAGCTTTTGGCATAATAGTAAGCGCTTGATCCTAACAAGTGGTATCAGAGCCAAGGTCGTGTGTTCGATTCCCAAGAGCAACATTCGACATGAGGCAGGTGTTGGGAGGGGGATTGTTGAGTAATGTCAACATCTTGCATATGGCAAGGCCCACGAGAGGCTGGGTGTCCCGGGTCGGAGTCATGATCAAATATGACGCTTGCTTGGTGGACTTAGTTAAGAAATAAAGTTGCGCCTTTGCTATCAGCTATAATTTTTGGCATAATGGTAAGCATTTGATCCTAACAAAACCATCTAATCTATTCAACGACTCATCTTCATACAATTTTATATAGAGACAATCTCGGGGATATTACTAAAAACATTTTCCTTAGGGGTCTTCTTGTTCACAATAGATAGTATAATTAAATTTAGAGAAGATGGGTAGATATGAGTGAGAATTTACACAAATACGATAGAAAACCAACGTGGAAGATTCAAAACCAGCATCAAATTCACTTCAAACTACCAATCGACCTTCCAAGTGCTCCGATCGAAGAAAAGTAATGGGGTTAATGAGGTTTATAATCGAACTTTGATCAACAACGCTATCCAAAAATCACTAAGATTAGAGAGGTTGATTTCTTCTTCCTTGTCTTAATTTTGTTTCATATTGTTTTTGGTAATGATTTGTTGGCAAATTTGATGCTCTTAATTATTAGGAGTGATAAATAAGTGGATTGGGTCAGAATTGGAGATATTAAAATGGATTGAAATACAAATCAAGTTGGGTCATGACTCATCTAAGTTTACTTTGGACTAAAATAAGATGGGATCAAATGGGCTTGAGTCATGACTCGCTAAGAATCTTTTTACCTAAATACACAATTTATTTTACCATATTCTCTAAAATTTCCTACCATTTGAAAAAATTACAAAAATCTCTACTCTCTCCTATTATCTGATACATCACTTTAAGCGATGTATCGATTGGATACATCACTTTATGCGATGTATTGGGCCGTTGAGTGATGCATCCGAAATTGAGACGCGATGTATGTGGACATTGAGGGATGTATCTGAAACCGTGATGTGATGTATCATAACGTTTTGGGATGTATCCGAATTTCACCAAATTTAAGAGATTTTTGTAATTTGAAAAAGAGAAGAGATATGATGTAATTATCTCTTAACACTATAATTTGTGTAAAATTCTCATAATTTTAACATAGTATTATTAAATTTTTATAACCAAAATTTAAATTTCAACTCAAGAAAATGTAACAAAAGTTACAAATTAATAAATAAATCTTATAATATATAAAATAGATGGTAATTCATATCTTCAATATATAGGAATATTCATTACATTAATGCAAATAAATAGTCTTAAAACAAGTTGAAATTAGAAATTAAATTGGGCTCACTTGAAGATTCTTTTAAAATGGATTAAGGCTTGAATCAGTTGAGATTGAACTCAATTCAAATTATCTTGAGCCCAACCCATAAAATTCTGGACAGATTGAACGAATTACTTATATTTGAGCTCATTTTGACAGGCCTACTCTTAATCCATAAATACATTGATCTGTTTGGTGTTGGCATGCTTATTTCTTCTAATTTATTATATGTGGATTACTTACTTTTAAATTTAAAGTGAATTAATTCATTTGGGTTTAATTAGGATTAGTTCACGAATTGGGGTTTGATTCACTGGTGACATGAAAAAAAAGAAATTTAGCTTAAGTTTTCATTTTTAATTGTTAGATTAATGAAATAAATGCTCTAACTTTAAGCTCTAGCGAGAGCATAAATAATCTATCATCTTAATTAAGCTTGTAATTTTGCGGGTTAGATAAAAACAATTAATAAATGCAACCTTACCATTTTATTAATTGCTTTTATCTAAGCCGCAAAATAACATCTTACTTAAGATGATAAACTGTACATGCTCCCGCTTAGATTTTAAACTTAGAGCATTTTTTTCACAAATATAAAACAATTAAAAAACTGTCAACAACGAATCAAAACCTAATTTGTTAGAATAAGTCATCAAATATTATAGTGAACTAATCTTAATTATACCCAAAAAAATTAGTCCATTCTAAACTTAAAAGCAAGTAATTGAACACATGATAAATTATTAGATAAAAAGAAGAAGCATGCCAACACCAAACACATCAACACATCAAATTGGCCAAGACATCACCACCAAAGAACAATATATAACAAAATGAAGAGAATTAAGGAAGAAGAAACAAACCTCTCTAATCTTAGTGATTTTTGGACAACGCTGTCAGAGGCGAATCCAGGATTTTAAGAAAACGGGTGCACCATTGCTTTAAAGATAATATCAAAAAATTTATAATAACAATAACTAAGCGAGCAATACATAAAAATTACATTACCACAAAAAATATCATCAGTTTACAATTGTACTCGACGAGACTTCATATTTTGAAAACGATCTATAATAGCATCATTACTTACATTTTCAAATATCTTCCGCACTATCTTACAAACTAAACATCCATTCAAAAATTCTTCACCAATGCTATTCAACTTAATCACAAATTTAACTAGCAAATTTAAAATAAAATAAGAGAATCGCATATCTTTCACAATAAAAAATAAGGGAATCACACCCTTGCAAGTTCAAATAAAACAGTGGAATCACAATCCTTGCAAATCTAACTAAAATAGAGGAATCACACCCCTTTCACATTTAACAATAAGAAAATCACACATTCATAATAAAAAGAGGACTTATGCCTCTTTTGCATTCGAAATCACATATTCATAGAAAGAAGAAGAATCACACCCCTTTCATATATATATTGATATATACATATATACATACATATATATATATATATATAATTATG